TTCCAGACTGTCTCCAACTTATAAATACATTTAGCTTTAAAAAAAAAAGAGGTCAAGCAATTAATTAGTCACTTGAAGCAAGTTGTATATTTTACCAGTGCAATGATAGTAACACTGAAGTGTAGATTCTGGGGATAACCATAGACTTTTAAATCAAAGCTCCCAATGCCAGGTGTGGGGTACTTTTCTATTGAGTTGTTGGCCTTAGAAGTTCCAGAGGTTCCCCAAAGGAGACTGGATATTGCTGCTGCTGAAGGTAAGAACTAAGGCATCCAGTGCCCTGGGCAAGGGAGAAAAGACCCACACACCCCTTAACCCAAGCTAAAGTCATCTGAAAGAAGAGAACCTCAATTAACAATGCCTCCTTAAAGTCAGGTTGTGGGCAAATCTGTAAAGTATTATCTTAATTAGTGATTGATGAGGGAGAGCCCAGCACACTGTAGGTGGTACCATCCCTAGACTGGTGGTACAGCATTCTATAGTAAAGCAGACTGAGCAAGCCAGAAGGCAGCACCCATCCATGGCCTCTACATGAGCTCCTTTCTCCAGGTTCCTGCCATGATTGAGTTCCTACCTTGTCTTCCCCTGATGATGGACTATAAGTAAAGCCTTCCCTCATGAAGTTGCTTTTGATCATGGTGCTTTATCACAGCAACAGGAAAATACTCTGAGACAAGACTCATCAATGGTTATATCAACGGTAGACTATTCCTACTACAATAACAGTGTGTCAGAGAAGAAATGTATACTGGTTCAGTAGTGGCACAGCTATGCTTGGTGTAACCAATCACTTTGTGACTGGATTTGAGTCTTGCTCTACAGGACTAATTAGATACCTAATACTATAAACTCAGTCAAAAGCCTATGGCTATAGAGATTATGGACCCAATAGGAGGTCATTCCTTTATTGTTTTGTTAAATGGACCATTTTGTCAAGCTTCCTACTAAATATTTGGTTATACTTAGAGATTAGTGCTGCTCTCAGTGTAAGGCAGAGAAGTTCCACTTTCCAGAGAGTGACTGCAAATGCAGAGATTTCTACCTGGCTAAAGTGATGAGAATAAATGACTTTTGAGCACTCATCCCTAAGTGGGACATCTATATCAACCCCCACAACTCAGATGACATCATGGTTGGGGAACATAACTGCCTTTGTCTATTTTAGCAAAAGAATATATGAACAAGACGTTGGGGAAGAAGCTAGGAAATACTGTCATCTAGACATGCCATGGCCTTTACAATCATGTATGCACAGCAACAGGAGATGCCTGCACAAAACTGGACCATTCAGCACTAGAGCATGAACAGAGGAGACACCATGACCTTTTTGAAGAGCTGTTGGCTAATAATGGCTGTAGCAAGAGAGAATGCCATTTGCTTTAATGATGTCTCAGGGAAGAAGGGGTGCAAATGGAAAATAAGGGGCTGGCTAGCAGAGCACAGTGGGGGTATATGTGAATATAATTACAGTCCATCTTAGTGTGTGTGTGTGTGTGTATGAAACCATCAAAAAGATATGCAGATCATAAATATGCTTAAAAGGAGATGTTTTATGTTTTAGCATCATTGACTAAAGAAGTACAAGTTAGAACGTCTGTGAGAAACAAAGAGAAATGAAAAGGCACCTTATTCACTGGTATTATTTTAATGCACTCATGAGCTCATATGGCCTCAAAGTACTTTGATAAACCTGCAGGTTGTCACCTTTTTACTTTCAGGAACAAGTTACTGGTCTGTGCAGATGGTGCTTAGCAGGAAGTCTGTGTAGATGCCCACCAAGCGACAGAGGCAGCCCATGTCTGTTTGCAGTCAGACTGGAGTCAAACACTGACTGTAAAATGGAGTCTCTCAGGGCAAGTCAAAACCCGAAAATCTGCTGTCTCACCTAGTATGGACCACCTGACAGCAGAACTCAACCTTGTTCTTCCCATCGTCCAATCACATTACAGCACAGCATCGTCACTTCTCAATCCAGCCTCAGTCTCTTGTAATACTTCCATTTCTTTCCCTGGATCAAACCTCGGTCAGCTCCTAACTGCCCCTTCTCATTCACAGTCAAACCTTAGCCAATCAGACCCATTGATTCTTATTTGCCTCATCATATAATTCAAGGGAAAGGATTTAATAGGCAGAAAGAGTCCCATCCTTTTTATTTTCAAGCCTTGACTAGCACAAAGTAATTGATAATAATAATTAACTGATAGCTAGTCAACATCACCCTAAAAATCCAGACCAAACCTTTAGGGTTATACATTTTACCTAAGGTGAGGAAATGCTAAATATATTGTAACAGCATCCCTGGAAAAGACATCCATGCCTCGCTTTTTCTCCATCAATCAAAGGGAGATGAAAACAAAGGGAGTTATAAGGAATTTTCCAAACACGACATGTCTGTATGAACGAGGACGAGCCTCAAATTGTCAGTCTTCGTCTTCTGCAGCTGCCGACATAAAGGGATCTCAAAGGTCTCATTCAGATCTACGCAGTCACATATGTTCCCAGGCCTTAGTGGGTTCACAATCTGGTAGGAGTAGGAGACTAACCATCCTGAAAAAAACAGCAAGCACAACTAGGAAAAATATAATTAGGTGCTCAATTACGTGGTATGGTATGCAAGCATCCTAAGAATTGAGAGCAGAGGAGTCTGATGCTAGAAAAACACATCAAAGCTTCATGGAGTCATTGTGGGTTTTTTTTTTCTTGGTCTTAAACATGACATACTGTTATTCTGGATCCATTGGGGCAGTTGATAATTTTCAGGGCAATAACTGTGTCTTCTTAATTGTATTCTCCCTCCCTTGAGTTCCTTGTCTACACCATTGGAATTAGCTAAATCCTCTCTGTCTTATCCTGTTTACTGTAGTAAACAGTTCCATGGATTGGCTAGCCTCACTTTACTGGAAATCTGTTGAGAGCTGTGCTTCTACGTTGTGTCTTGACCAACACGTCTGTGCGTCAACAGAGGACTTTAGTATGCTCATTATAACTCAGAGTTTACCAATTCTTCATGAAACTGGAATTAATTCATACTTTGTGAAGGGAGCTGGTTTCAAAGGCAAAGAATTTAAGTAAAAATCTGAGGAGTCTGGGATGGGGTGAGATTGGGAGTTTGGTGATGGTCTAAGAGAACTCAAGTATTTTTGACTTTTTTTCTTGATATTGTATTGCCAAATGCTCTAGCACCTTTTTTGTTCGTGTAAAAATCTTCTCAGTCTGTAAATTTTTTTTGCTCCCCTGCTCAAGTCCTTAGAAACTTACATCCTGGTTATCATTTTACCTGTATGCTTTTTCTAACCTTCAGCTTGGGGCCAGACATACAATGAACTTAAGTAAGTACCTAGTTCTCTATCTATTCATTTATCCCTTTTATTACTTTTCTATTGCTGTAGTAAAGAACCACAACCAATGCAATTTATTAAAGAAAATGTCATTAATTGGGCTTATGGTTTCAGAGGGTTAGAGTCCTTGAAGAAGAGCTGAGAGACCACTTCCTCGGTTCCACAAGTCCAAGGCAGAGAGAACATACTGGAAACATTGCAAGTCTTTTGAAACCTCAAAGCCTGCCACAAGTTCCAACAAGGCCACCTAATCTTTCCCTAAGAGTTTCACACCAAGTATTTAAACTAGGAACCAAGTATTCAAACATATGAGCCTATGGGAGCCATTCTCACTGAAGCCGCCATAACCCTTAAATATCTTGTTCTTTAGAAAACCCTTGCTACTAAATATCAGTCAAGGAGAGAATAAACATGTCGTTCCAAGTGTGTGAGTAAAGGCAGCCAAGATCACCAGAACCCAGCCCATTTGCTAACATTGTGACACTGAGTTGCATATGGTGGCTAAGAGAAGCTCACTGTTGCAGTCTTTAGGCTTGTGAGGTTGTATGTTACACAGCATGGTGGGTTGCTAATTGATACACAGTGCTTCACAGCAGTCATGGGGAAGGATACTAGTGCCCGACTGTAGTTCTTACAGTCATCCCTAACACAACAGCACGTTAGAATTTATATTTCCGAGACTGACCTCTCTTATTCTTTTTCTTCTCCCCGTTACTTGGAAATGAAGCTAACATTTTAGGGACAGATGAAATTTAAGAGATTATTGAGAAACTGGGACATTTGAGGGTTTCTCAGATGGAGAAACTACATTTGTTGCTGAGAGAAGGAATTTTTAAAAATGACCTCAAATGACAAGTCAGAATGAGTGGGAACAAAATCTTCTAAACTAAAACCTTGAAGGAGACGGGTACTCGGTACTTGAAGAGAATTTGATAACCGCAGGGGAATTCTGGACAAGAAATTGGTCATAATCTTAACAGTGTCTGTTGTGTGAGGAAAGTGTACAGTGTCGGTCAGTGAAAGCCAACAGAAGAGTGGACAGGAGCCAGAGACACAGCCCCATCACCCGATCTATAGCAGACTGAAGCTTTCAGAGACCTCCAGTCGGGAGAAGCTGCAATTCTTGACTGTGTGGCTAAAAAGAATTAGAGGGCGAATCAGTATTGTAAAGGTTACGTTTCCATCCCTGTGATAAAAACGCCAACCGAGGCAGCTTGTAGAAGGAAGAGTTTGGGCTTAGGGTTGTGGAGGGATAAGAGTCCAAAACTATCATGGCAGGGAAACGTAGCAACAGGTAGGTAAGGAGGCTGGCTCAGTGGCTGAGAGCTCACACCTCCAACCACAAGCAGGAAACAAAGGGACTCAACTTGAAATGTCCTGAGGCACTTCCAGTGACATCCTTCCTCTTACAAGGCCAATCAAAACAGAATTGGCATTTTTAAAGGTGTTTTTCAATATGGGTGTGAACATGGGCATGAATAGGCAGACAGTCATTTAGGGAAAGGGCAGGACTCACCCTAGTGTGAATATGGGTTCATCAAGCGACAGTCACACACCTGTCCCTTAATATACACACATGTGATTTTGATAGCTGCTGAAATTGTATAAAGATTTCAAAAGGACACCCACTCCGTTTTCTTCTCTTTGTTTCCATGAGTGCAGAGGCTCCATGCTGAGATGCCTTGGCTAGGATTACAGACTGATGAGGCCGAACCACAGGTCACAAACACTGCATAGGACCTTGGGGTGCATTTTGACGGTAAGCAAGATTTGTTTACAACTATTTTGTGAGTTTCCAGAAAATGGCAGGCTTGCATGTGGGAAAGGAGTCAGGCCATGCTTGAAGGTCATACACGCTCAGGCCTTAGGCATGCTTTAAAGTGGTTTTAACATTCTTACCTGAAATATCACTGTAAAGAGTGTGATCTCCACCAAGGCAGCCTTCCCAGCACATTTTGTTAACTATGCGGGGACTGTTGACTTTCAGCTGGGGAGAGACCCTAACCAGATTGTAGAGTGAGGACTTCCTTTCTCTTCTGTGTCCCTATAATCTTTTTCCCTGTCTGACCTGCCTGAAGGAGGAGATGGCACAAATTAAGGGGATTCCTGTTGGCTCCACACCTAAGCTGTGAGAAATGATTCCTGATAGACACTCAAGGAAGAACCAAAACGATTCGTTGATGGGTGAGACACACAGCAAGATAAAACAAAGGCGTCAGTATAGAGTCAACTTCTTTGGAGACAAGAACTGAAACAATTCAGGCTGCTTGGGGGAGCAATTCTCCCCCAAGTCGGAAAAGCTCTAAGGAATGTCTTCAAAGGAAAGACCAGGAAGTCCAGTTAGAGAGGCTAAGGCTAAGATGTATGCTATGCATTCCAGCGGAGATATATCGAGAATAATTTACCCTACATCTAGGAAGAAGAGAATCATGTCTGATTCTATGGCAAGATTAGAATCCTTTTTAGTGCAAACAAGGCTACGTGGTTATTAGCATCTATTTGCTCTCAATTGTCATAGAAACTATATCTTTATTTTATTGACTTGAAATTTTGCATACATAGCACCACGACTCCTCATTAGCAGACTCAGTTATTTAGTTTTGAAATGTGCGTTTTGTTTGGTGACATAAATTACCATGAAAATCACAAAAGCTTTTAAATCACCCTTCGCTTCAAGGGCTGAGCAAAAGTGGAATCAATGAAAACCTCCATCATGTTGCATATTTGGGTTTTAATTTGTTACACAAGGTATCAAACATACAGATATTTTCCTGTCATCCCATTGGTTTTAGTTTTAAATAATCCTAACTGTTGTCCAGCCATTCATAAAGTATTTATCGAATAAATGCTAGGAGCTTGGAAAATCTCAGAGAACTGTGGATTTTTTTTAAATGTTCCCTTTGCAATTGGTAGAAGCCTTCCTGGAAGCTGTGGTTGGGAGGTAGATGGGGGAAGGAGTAGGAGAATAGAGTAAAATTGGAATCACAGTATAGCCATAAGCACTATAAATAAAGGTTTGAGCAAATTGTTTCAGTGAGTGGGGAGGAAGAACTCTCTTAGTTTGGAGAAATTATATCCCAGTATATATTTTTTTCAATCAAATTAATTTTATTAGCTGCCTACTTGGAACCAGCTTATTGATTTTACTTTGCTTATATGGTTAAAACTAAATAAAATAATGTAGGGAATTTCTTTTAAAATTAATTTATTCTTTGACAATTTCATACATGCAGATGATACACACTGGTCCCACTCATCTCTCTATTTTCATTTTTCAGGTCCTTTGTTTTTATTTATGGTTAAACTACATGAAGTCAGAAGATTGGGGGTCAGGAAATGTAAATTTTTTATTATATTTTGTATTCAATTTGTTCTTTAGCAATCTCATACCTGTAAGGCACTCTGTCTTAGCGCTCTCTCTCTCTCTCTCTCTCTCTCTCTCTCTCTCTCTCTCTCTCATCTCTCCTATCTCACATTCATGTCTTTAAATTGTGCCCCACCATTGTTAATCAGGCCTGCCTGTGTGGTCACGGGTACGGAACTGTTCACTGGATCCTGATGAACTTGCACCCCTGTATCCTGTCTCCACAGAACAGTATCCTCCCACCTCTGTTCCCACCCCCCATTCTTTCCACCAAGCCCACTTTCTTTTCTTTCTTTTTGGTTTTGTTTGTTTGTTTGTTTTTTCTTTTTTTTTTTGAGATGGGGGTCTCTCTATAAAGCCCTGACTGACTTGGAACTCACTACGCAAACCAGGGTGGTCTCAAACTCATAGAGATCTGGCTTCCTCTGCCTCCTGAGTGCTGGGATTAAAGACGTGCACCACTAACACCCGCCCCCACCACATTTTCATGTCTCCTTGTTTTGTCTTGCTTTTGCTTTTTCTTTGCTGCCCACTGGGTTTCCCAAAGGCCACTTACGTGGGCAGAGGTATGAAGCTATCTGCTGGAGCAGGGGTAACTTGTCAATGGCTACATTACTGAAGACAGTGGCTTCCTTGACTGACATTAGCTTCACTAGGTGAGGTGTAGCCTCCTGAGATCCTCCCCTACTTACAAATTAATATTCAAGGGTTAGTCTTCTGTAGACCCATACAAGCAACTGCAGCTTCTGTGAGCTCATAAATACAGTGGCTGTGCCAAGCCAAGACAGTATTTCATAGCCCTCTTCCCCATTATCTGATGGGGACATCATGAACCTCTTACATCCTTCCTACCCCTGCTTCAGTGGTGTTTCCTGAGCCATGGAGAGGGTGATGTGCGTGTTCATTTAAGGCTGAGCACATAATAGTCATTCATTCTCATCATCTTAACCCATCAGTCCCTGTACTAACTGTTATCTATTATAACGAGATGCTTCTTTGATCAAAGCTTAGGGTAACACTGCTCTACTGGCCTACTGGTCTACCCGTATTCCATCAATATTCAGGAGACCTCTTGACCACACATCCATTCAGCAAAACGAAAGTAGTAGGTTCTTCCCAAGTACCTATGACCTCCCCAGTTGTGGGCCTTTGAGCAAGTCCACAGTCACAAGCATAAGCTTCCTCCTATGGATTAATGGGCTGAACCTCACATCCAATCATTGCATCATTGGTTGCTCTCATTGCAGTCATTCCACTATGGCCCCGTGAGCACCTTGCCTGGCAAGTTGGAACTGTCGTATTCAGAGCTGGCAATACCACCGCTGGCTCTTCTCTCACGGTTGCCTTTATAACCACTGCAAAGACTCCAAAGGCTTAGCCAGAGCAATCGGTTGCATCGGGGCTTCATGATGTCAGCAGCCCCAGGATCTTAATGTCCAGTTCTGGTGAGCTACCAGGGAAAGTGGCGGCAGCCTAAATGTTTGTTAGGCCTCTGGGAATTTCTTGACCAACATTTCCCAAGGTGGTGTTCTATATCTGACACTTGGATTTTCATTTAATAACCCATGACTGCTGGAAATAGCATTACCCACCGGTGCATGGTACCTGAATTCAAAATCTGTTTTTCAAAATTGTCTTTCAATTAGCCTATAAGTCATTCTTTCCCTGTGATGTCTTTATTCACTGATGTTTTAGTTAATTCTCACCTTCCTCCCATCTTCTCCTTTATCACATCCATTAATTTCCATATTCATGTGCTCTACCATCCCTTGCCTGCTTAAGGCATCTACTCCTTCCCACCATGACCCCTCCTCTTTTATTGCTTCCAGGTCTCTCCACACCTTCCCAGGTAAACAGATATAAAAATTTAAAGTTACAGTTCGCATTCAAGAGAACATGCATAGTTTGACTTTCTGGGCCTGCATTACTTCACTCAGCAAAATAATATAATATTTTTTAGTTCCATCCATTTTCTTGCAAATTTCCTTTATCTTTTACAATTGAAGAAAATCCTGCTGCGTGCATCTGCCACATTTCCACGATCCATTCACTGGTTGATGGGCGCCAAGACGGGTTCTATTTCTTAGCTGTTGTGACGGGAGCAACAATGAATGTGGGTAGCAGCTGTCTTTGTAGAACAACACGGCCTTTACAGTGGTATGGCTGGGTCATCAGCAGTTCTATGTTCAGCTTTTTCAATAGCCTGAGGAATCTTTAGAATGATTGGATAGTGATTGCACAAGTTTGCACCCTCACTAACAGTAAATAGATACTTTCTTTCCCCCACAGTCTCACCAACACTCGTTGTCGTTTTGATTTTTGATGATAGCCAATTTGGCTGGGGCAAGGGAGAATCTTAATATGTTTTAATCCGCATTCCCCTCATGGCTAAATCCATCCACAGTTTTGTAAACAGGATTCTGTCTTACAGTCCACCCTTCTTTTTTCTACCTTGTCGGAAGGGGCTGACCCTTCTCAGAGATCCTGCGACAAGGTGTGAATTAGAGAAATATTCAGCTTCTAAAAACTTCTAAGTCCTTGTGGATAGCGGGACTGCAGCCTTCCAGCAGGACCTATTGAGCTGGCATTCTGCTGATGAGTTATGATTGACAGACGGGCATGGAAGGGAGGAGGAGTTCTCGGAGCCCATCACTAGGGTGTTTACCTTGGTCTTCCCAGCAAAAGGAATGCACTGGAGGGGTTACCTCTTGTTGGCTTTTTGTTTGTTTGTTTGTTTTTTTGAAAGCCTAGAACCACGTGCCGTGCTGAAAATAGTCAATAAAGAATGTAGGAGTCACAGAAGCCCGACACTGTCACTGAAATGGGGTCCATCCATCGCCAGTGTTTTACATGTGACAAAGTGAAAACCGAGTATCCAAGCTCCGGTGGCGAGGAGCCTGCATTTAAACCTCACCTCCCAGCTTGGTGGGGAGAGGGCTCACTGCGGGCGACTTAATTCTCCCAGGTCTAGGGATCTTCACCTCCGAGAAGGGTGGATGCTAATAAGAGTCCAGGGAGTTCTTTTGGAAATCATGTGGGATTATCAGGGAAAGCAGGCAGCCCAACGCTGTGCACAAAGAAAATGCTCAGTAAACACTAGGAATTCTGCCCCCTTATTTTGATCCTTTTGTTTTAGAATTTCAATTTTGATGGGTGTAGGGCCAGATGCGATGCCATGAAATAAGAAAGATGTGTAAGATGGCAACTAAGGTCCCATCAACCCTGTTGTTTTGTGATCCTAACCACTAAGTTGCATTGCCTGCCATTCCACGGAATGGCCACTAGGTGGCAACATGTGGTCATATTTACTGTCTGCTCTGACTTTGTAAGAAGGATCATGAGAGATTGCCGGTTTGGGTTTCACCTCATCTGACACTGGAGAATTCTGTTACCAC